ACACGACCTGTCTGTGGCTCTGTTTACATTGGAGAAGAGTCGACCTCTGAGGAGAATCCAGCTCCTGAAACAGAGTACTGAAGGAATCCTGGCCAGGAGAAGCTGACTGCAATGAAGACAACAACTCCCATGATCCCACACTGCTTCACAATGTGGCCAGCTCCACCTTTTTTTAAACTTTATTTTATTTAAAGATGCCTAATGGCAGAAAATTGCATGTTTACTGTGTTGATTAAAACCAAGATTATTGTATCTATGACACTAGATATCATTATATCTGTGACACTATCTATCCTTAAACAAAACCTTGATCATGGTGATGTCATCCTGTCGGACTGAATAAGGCTGTGTAATGACGTTTAGACATAACATAACAAAATCCGATATTATAAATATTCACTGTGCTCAGAAAAGGTTATCATCCCTGGTCCAAATATGGACTGACATACAGGAGAGTGTGAAGAAACATAATGTGAGAGGTAAATGAGAGTCAGAAAAAACGAAACCAGCCAAAGGAATAAAACGACACACTTTTCAGAAGCAGCGTTCACGCCTGTACGGAACATTTTCAAGAGACTATTCCTTTAATCCGCGTCCCACCTCCTCAGCAGTCCCGTCTGATGTCCCCCAGCTACATCGGCATGGATGGACTTGTTTTGATTTCCGGAGTTGATTTTCCCGCCTTATCTGCGCCATCAGCTCATTTCCTGTGTGTAACAGCCACCATTTCCCGTCTCTGTGGAGCAGAATCAGAGCGATAACACAACGGCCACACTAAATCTCCAACTTTTCTCCTTGTTTCTCTTTCTATTCCTGGCCTCTGCACGTCTCTGTCCTCACGGACTGTTTCTCTCTGTCTCTTTGCTCCCTTCATTCATTCATAATTTTGAAATTGGTCATTACTGTTTAAGTAAACAACTGGAAGTCACCAAATGTTAAAAAATCAGCTCTAATCTCATTCACTGTGTGTTTTCTTAGCATTTCTACCTATATATATATTTTTAGATGGACCAGGAAACAACACAATTGACTCACAGTGGACCAGCATCAACCATAATTCTCTGATCTAGTATTTTCCTGGAATTCCTGCATTTTTACAAAGTATTGTTTTTAATACAAGTAAAAACAAAGTTTCCCTCCTGCTTGTATATCTGCCCTCACCCCTCTCTGCTTCCATTGTTCCTCTGCAGTGAAAAAGAGAGAAGGCTTGCTCGGAACAATGAGCACTTCCTCCTGTGCGGTGGCGAGCTCAACAGCGACCAAGGAATCAACGTTGGGCACATGTGATGGGCTATTGTCCGGCACTGAGATCCAGGCCTTCCTGTGGTAGCCTGTTTCCCAGCTGAAGTCACTGTGTGACCTTGAGCTGCATCTCTGTCTGTGGGCAGGAAACGCTCACACTGACGTTCTCACATGGGCACAGCACACACATGCATGTTTCTCCCACACATGCCCACCTCCTAGAAATTACATATTGTAGGTCACTTTCTCTAACCCTAATCCAGAGCTGTGAGAGTCATAACAGAACCATAAAACATTAATGATGTAATAATGATGGAGTCAGTACAGGTGGAGATTTTACATCAGTGCACATTTAATTACTGATTCATTCAGAATAAAGCATTTGAATACCTGTCACATATTAAAGTTTTACATTATTTTAACAGAAAACATGAGGAGACGACGTCCATTGTCCAGCAACAAACACAACAACCATCACAAAAAGGACTGAGGACAACATTTCAAGGTGCTTTGCATCACAAGTATCATCATTGTAAGATTTGACGATATAAAAATGAGAAAAAAAGAATGCTATTGCTAAGGAAAATCATCGTTACTTTGTTCATTGTGTGGGTTTTTTTGGGGGGGGAAACTACTACAACTACTACACAACACTAATACCTTCATGTTGGAGTGTAACTGGCAAAGGAAATTGAGAAGTGCTCAATATTTTACACATTATGATCTCTGTTATTAACATGATGTTAATAATTCATTCAGTATTTGGCAGCAGCCCTGATATGTAAGACCCTGACAAAACAAAGCAGTTGAAAGTGTGCAGTGTCATTGTTGATATTTTGATGAGCGTTCCTGGTGTTTGCTGTCAGCTGCCAGAGATTAAAACATTCAAATCTGGGTTATTACATTGCATCTTTGACCTCGAGGCCAAACGGCTCATGTTAATCCCAGTTTATTACATTCAGGCCGGATCTCCGGCTCACGCCGCTGAAACTGAGCTGTGCCAAAAGTGGTGCCACTGGAGAAGCATGCAGAAATGATCCTAAATAAACAAGGAGTGAGACCAGTGTTAATCTTGTTTGTGCACAGAGGTCACTGTGATCCTCTGGCCCCTGCTCCCCCCACACACACACCCACCCACACACGCCCACCCACCACCACCCATGTGAGCAGCACAGGAAGCAGTCAGTTATAGCACCCTGCTCCTGCCTCCACTCCCACGCTCTCAACATTGTTTCCCTGCTGTCTCCCCCTCCCTCAGGTAGCTGTCAGTGCTGTGGGACAAGTCTCACCAAACCTCATGTCTGCGTTGACTGAATCACTCACTGTCACTGACCACCGGAGCACGTCCTCTGACACGGAGCTGCGACTGATTCATGAAGCAGGGAGATGACGGGCATGTCTCACTGTGCAGCAGCTGTTGGCTGCGTGTTCACTCTTTCATTAAATAGTCTACTTTGGTTTTTTTAAGACAAAGAAAATGGTCAAATGATTTACAGTTGGTTGTTTGGGAATGGACGAACATGTCTACTGGTATTTAAATGCAGGTGAAGTGGCAGAAAAAAAGCCTTTGGGGAGTATCAGGTGAGATGCTGGACACCCTGGACTGGTCTCTAGTCTATCACAGGGCTGAGATATAGAGACAGGCAATCATCCCGAGTCTCCAGTTAACCTAAGCAGCATATCAGTGAACTATGAGAGGAAGCTGGAGTATAGTCACAGGGAGAACATTTAATAGAAAGGCCCTGGTCGGCTGTCAGGTCCAAACCAGAAACTTTCTGCTGTGAGACGGCTGACCACTGCACCACGATGCTGCCCTGAATTTGATACATCTACATGTAGTACTCTACAGTTTTAGACTATAAGGTTTTGTCTGCCCAACATATGGCCCATCCTGATGCCACTATAATCACAAAAAAATTGCATCTTTGTGTTATATTAATAAATGACTAGAAATTAATATTTCTTTTCTTTTAATGAATGATGATTTTATACAGTTTTCATTTGCACCTTGTGAAGATCTTTGTACTCAATTAACTCCATGGCCTCTGACATGAGGCTGAGCCTTTGTGAAGCTCAGCAGCTGAGTTCTGAACCAGCTCGTTTCACAAAGCAGCCTGACTAATGAGCAGAACATCATTTGTCTCACTTCACACCACATGCAGTGTCTTTTAGAATACATTTTAGAATACAATCAATGCTTCTCATGAAGGACAACTGAGACGATCCACCCTCATTTTCCTAGGAGGCCTCTCTGACTCTTCAGTTTGGGTCTTTTAACTGTTTCGAGTGGGAAAATAAAAGATTTAAAAGCCTCCTGCTGTAATAAGAGAAAATCTCTGGTACAGCCTCAGACTGAGCATCTGGTCAGCTAATGGGACAGGTTCAGAATTGTACTAGCCTGTTCCAAAACAGTAGTCAGGTGTCCATCATGGTGTCCATATGAACACTGCATTTACTCATGTTCACACTGATGTTTGACACATCTCACTCTAAATGAAGAAGGCAGGATTTGACTACTGAACAGGAAAGAGACCTGTCACTGCTCCTGTAGCCACCTATACCTTAAAATTCATATGGTATGGCTTTTCTTAACTTGCAGACGATGTTACTATAGCCTCTGGTGCATTGTTAGGACAGCTGCTCTGCTAGAAGTAGGATATTTATATTGTAATGGTGAGAAAATGTGATTATCTGTGACTTCCACAGACCATCAGGTGTAGATGTTTCATTTAGAGAAACTGCAGATGATGCCACAGTCACAGTGAGGGCTGCTGGAGCAAAGAGCTGCACAGTCTGCAGATGTCAACCTCATGGAGCTGTTTCGACATATCTCCAGTCACCAAGGAGGTTACTTTCACTTCTTTCTGTTGCTATGTTTGTATGTAAGCAAGATCACACAAAAACAACCGAACCAATTTCCATGAAACTTGGTGTAATGAGCCGTGTGTGTGTGTGTGTGTGTCAGGGAAAACCCCATTACATTTCGGTGTTGCTCTAGATCAGGGGCCAGATTTTTTATTTTATTTCCTTTGATAATTAGATTAGACATTTTCAACATTGAGAGACAATTGTGAACATATGAATACAAACTAGAAAAAAAGAATAAAATATGCATATTGGGAAGTATAGTAGACAAAATAGACTGAAAACCAATACAATGTACTGTTGCTCCTCTCTGTTAGGAGGACAATACACCCAAAAATGAAAATTCACTCATTATCTACTCACCACTGTGCCGATGGAGGGGTGGGTGAAAGTGTTTGGGTCCACAAAGCACTTGGAGTCTCAGGGGTAAGCATTGTCACAGCCAAATTCAATACAATTGAAGTAAATAGTGACCGATTCTTCAAACGTAAAAGATAAACAACAGAAAAAACTGAAAATGCTTCCATTCTGCTCCTGTGGTGTCATCCAAGTGTCCGTAAGCCCCCAAATTCAAATTCTATTCGAAATAGGGCAATTTACACCTTTCCTAAAACCTTGTAAAAAAAACAACATGGTTAAAACAACATGGTTGTTTTTTTTTACGTTTGAAGAATCGGTCCCTAGTTACTTCAATTGTATATATAAATACGTATATATACCTCTGACTCAAACACTTCACCCACCCCTCCATCGGCAGAGTGGTGAGTAGACAATGAGTGAATTTTCATTTTTGGGTGAACTATCCCGTTAAGCTCTTCAATGCTCTACATTTTTCTTGTTGGAACAAAGTCATACTGCCACCCCCTGGAGATTCACATGAACTGCAACCACTTTGTACGCTCACGACCAAGTGGACCAGTGAACGCGCACGACAACGCACAGTGTCAAACGATGGACGCGGTGATTTTTGTGTGCGTGTGATTCAGATGAACTCCTGCAGGTCTCATCGCTGCTGTTGGACGCACGTCTTGCTGCTGCAGTGGTGAGACACAGAGCAGACGTCATTACCGGGACCAGACCTCAGCCGCCCCTCGTCCAGATTCATCCTCCACCGAGCGTGTCCAAGATGACGGCCAACAGCCGCTACAGGAGCCGTGCGCCCCGGTCAGGTGAGCACCTGCAGGTCCCCACTCACTTCCAGCCATTCGCGTTCATCAAGCATCGATGCGTGAGTCTCCCGAAACCCACACTGTGCTTTTATTCTCTCCGGACATTCTCCTGCATGTGGCTGGCACCTGCTGCCCAAACGCACCGACGCCTCTTGGAAACTGTCCTCAGATGATGGAGAGGTAAGAGAAACAGTGGGGACAAAGGTGTGTGGGCGTTTGTGACACAGTGTGTGTGTGTGTGTGTGTGTGGGTGTGTGTGTGTGTGTGTGTGTGTGTGTGTGTGTGTGTGTGTGTGTGTGCGCGCGCGTGTGTGTGTGTGTGTGTCTGTGTGTGTGTGTGTGGCTCTGGGGATATTTAGTCTGGTCCTCACACCCACAAAGCACTGGTTTTCAATTAGCTTTAGGTCACGGTGAGGTTTGGATCTAGGTATTTAGTTGTGATGGTTGAGGTTAGAATAAGGGGATATAGAGAATGCATTGTATCCTCAGAACTATAGAAAGACAAACGTGTGAGAATGCGTGTAAGTGTGTGTGGTCCACATATTGCTCATGTTGTGGGGACCTACATCTGTTTACATGCATGGTCACATTATGGGGAATGGAGACACACTTTGTGTTTGTGTGTGTGTATTTGTGTGTTAGCTGTGTCGCACTTTGTGAACAAATCCAAATGTTGCCTTTGTTTTGGTTCTTGCTGTTAACTGTGACTTACATGATGTAGTACTGTACAATTTCACTATTTCAGTTTTCCTGGGCCAAATCAGAAGTTGGTCATATCTTGTCCTCATGCTCACTTACCAACGCCCATTTCCATCAGTGCAAAACATCTGTACAACATGTGTAAACATGAATCTGCAGCTGAGACAATGAGCAGAGGGACAGTCATGGAGTCTGTTAATCAATTCATCCTCTTAGTCACTTTTCAAGCAATAATGTAAACCAGAATTCTCAAATATTAAGGTATACTGCTTTTATTTGTCATGCATAAGGTGGTTAGACGTGCAACCATCTAATTATTCATTATCACCAATCAAAGATTGTTTAGGTGATTAAATGTCAGAAAATATGACAAATTCCCCTTTTTCATGTTTCATTCAACCTCAGCTTGAAAATATATCATGTGAGACAGCATGGAATACAATGATTCCTTCCAGCTGTCTAGTGTTGAAGTTACATGTTGCAGCTGAACACCCCTCACCTCACCCTCCTCTTCCAAACATGAAAAAGAACCTGTGGTAGCTTCAGTTGTTATAAAAAATCAAAAGGTATTTAGTTTGTCCAGTCTGGACTAATGTAAAAAACATGGTGGCCTCCGTAGAGAGGACCCCCTCAATGTAAATATAAAGTATTTAAATATAAAGGGCCTTTTCTGGGGTAAAGAAAACTACAATTCATACAATTTAGATGAAACGAACTAGTGAAAACATCATGAGGATTATTCTGCATTAAATATCTGCCAATAGTTCTCTTTCACCTAAATCTTACACACTGGAGCTTTAAGGGGATCATGATCTCCTAGAGCATCAAACATCTCCTTCTTTACAAGCTCCAGTGTGAACATCTTTATTTTGAGATTTGCTTCACAGCTCCCAAAATCCCTCGAGCGGTTTCCTCTCATTATTCCTTTTACCATTGTCCTGCTTCACAGTTCAGTGTTTTCATGTCGTCTTGGACGGCAGCTCTGAGGCTGAGTCAGAGCAGCGAGGTGTTATCCAGCAGTCTGGATATGTGTATTTTTGTGAAATGCGTGTAGGTGTGAAATGCATCCACAGACAAAATGTCAATTTTCAGACACACACCTCCATCTACACAGCTCCTCAGTTGCTCCCTAGAAAGTCAAGCTAATGCTCTCTACATTAGATTTGGTTTTAAAAGCTGGTTGTATCCTCAAGTGGAGAAATCGAATGCATGATGGGGGAGCTGTTCTTCTATCTGACCAGTCTGCTTAGTTCACACCACACACCATCTGCCTCGTTCAACGCTGTTGGTTCCTGTTCCAGTCATTCTCTCACCATTTCTACAGCATTCTTCAAATTAAAATCTATTTGATTGATATCATAGAGAGCACATTATTTAACTTTATATCAACTGAGTGTGTTTACATTATCTGGATCACTGAACAGGCAGGACACGAATGGCGCAGCAGCCAGAGGCAGGACGTACTGTAACACATTAATTCCCCCTCGCAGAGATCATGGCACTGCTTTTTAATCTCTGTTGTGTTGTGTGTGTTAGATATCTTCCTGAGGAGGATCTCCTGCTGCGTCCTTCAGAAGTGCTGTGGTTTTTCCATTAGTGGGCCAGCTCTCACTCGGACATTTGCATTCACACATACGTTCATCCATGCAGAATGGCCTGAGGGATCTCCAGAGTTCAGTGCATGTCTGAAAGATTGTCACATGACCACAAAATGCTCTCACAAAGAAACACAATACCAGAGACACAAACCATTTCAACTAGAAGGTCACTCAGTAGTTTGTACCTCTGCAAAGGCCCAACCACACAACACAGTTGTAAATATACTTTTTCATATAGAATCACTTTTAAGATCTGCACATGCTCTGTTTAACCCTGTTCTTCCATCTCTCTCTATGTATTCAGATGCACACATACTGTATGGCTCTGCTGTGCTGTTCACCAGCCCCTCCTCTAGTGCCAGTGGCTGCCTGCCACTCTACATTATGAATACTTGGTGAACCCCAGGGCATGCTCCCAGTCCCTTTGCTCTTTGCAACTTCAATAAAACATGAAGGGAATCATGGGGATGTCCTACTAACACAGTTGCTGTACCACAGATCTGACCCAGCAGCCTGTGTGTCGGCCATGATGATCTGCATACATTTACTTACTGCTGCTGAGCCAGAGTCACGGCCGCTGCTTTAAAACGGCATTTCTGTCTCCGTGTGACTGTTTCTAGGAAAAGGAGTATGTTGGTTTTGCGACGCTGCCCAACCAGGTGCACAGGAAGTCTGTGAAAAAGGGATTTGACTTCACCCTCATGGTGGCAGGTGAGAAGTGACGTCACACCTCCTGGGTTATTATCAAATCTAAACTGTGTACAGCAGCGTCATTTTAAAGTACTTTACACAAGACAGAAGCATTTTCAGACATCATCAGATCATGTTTCTGTTCACGGGACATCAACATCAGCATTGGCTCTTATCACCAAAAGCTCTCTTGACATCTTCATCTGCGGAGATATTTGTATTGTAGTCATTACCTGTGTCCAGTAGGTGAAGCTATCGTGACTGAATATTGCCATGAATATTACATTTCTCAGAATGTGTCTCGAGGTTTGGCTGCAGATGAGATTTCAAACCATCCTGGATGTGTCTGTGTAATGGGGAGTACAGTGATTCATGTGTTAGACTAAATTATTTTGCTTCGGCAAGTTTGCATTCGTTGTGCTGCCACTTGGCTGTGAGACACAGAATGTCCATTACGCTATTTAATATTTTTATTTGTTTGATCATGCATAAAAACAGTTCTTTCACATTTATTTGAATCCATACATTTTGCCATCTCTTAGCTGCTATCTCATTCAGTACATTCAGTACTCTTATACAATTATGATTAACTTTTTTTAAAGTTTTGCTTCAACTGCATGCTTGCTATCTTAAGTTTGCACCTATTGAAGGGAGCTTAAATTGACTTACTCAAGATAAGCATCAGTTTTAATCAGATTTGGCTGTTTATCCTCCTCCTTAAATATATGGTTTTATATATTATGTCAATCAAACTTTAAGTACAACAAAAAACACAATTTTTCCATGTTGGAGAGGGAAGCACATAGTTCTGCATCATGGTAGAAACATTTTGAAATAATATAAGAGATCTTTAATTGTTTACACAGTATTGTCATATGTGTATCACTGACATAATATCAATGTTTCATTTCTGAAAGTACAAACCAGCATCAAATGAAAAGTAGAAAGCAGACGCACCTCAAAACTGTTCTTAAGTACGGTATTTTAAATGTAATGACTTTCCACCTCTGTGTATATGTGTGTTGCAGGTGAGTCTGGCCTGGGTAAATCCACCCTGGTGAACAGCTTGTTCCTCACTGATCTGCATAAAGACAGAAAATTACTAAATGCTGAGGGTGAGTCACTGACCGATAAGACATCCCCATGTCTGCATTTTTGTTTCCAGCCCAGATAAGACGGAAGAGACGTGTGCAGGAGATAGACTGTTGAATGTCTCTGTGTGTTTGGCATTTCAGAGCGCATCAGTCAGACGGTTGAGATCATGAAGCACACGGTGGACATCGAAGAGAAGGGGGTGAAGTTGAAACTAACTATTGTGGACACCCCAGGTTTTGGAGACGCTGTCAACAACACAGAGTGGTGGGTGTTGACTGTGTATCTCTGGTCGGAGATCATATGGCTAACAATATTTGTAGCTGAGTTAAAGATTCAGAGTGTAGAATTTAGTGACATCTAGTGGTGATGTGTCATGTTGCAGCTGAACACCCCTGATCTCACCCTCCCCTTCCAAACATGAAAGAGAACCTGTGGTAGCTTCAGTTATCATAAAAACTCAAAAGGTTTTAGTTTCTCCAGTTAAGGCGACTGTGAAAACCTCAGCAGAGAGGTGTAAATATGTTTAGATATAAACGGCCCATTCTAGGGTTGAGAAAACCAAAATTCATACAATTTAGATGAAACACACCAGTGAAAAGATCACTAGGATTATTTTATATGAAACTTCTGCCAATAGATCCCTTTCACCTAAATCTTGCACACCGGACCATTATGTGAACTTGTTCCCCTACACACTGTCATCCTGCCTTTTCAGCCCTGTGTTGTCACCATAGACTGTGTGTAAAGATGGATGCATCTCCTCTATCCAGAAATCACACCAAAATGTCCTAGATATGAACGCTGCCATCTTGCACATATAAAGGCATTTGGAGCAAGAGTCTGTGCTGTAGGGAGCCATCAATCATGATGTTTCATCCTCTTTTATAACATATAATAACTAATCAAAGCCAAACCTACTGGAAGTGTATCAGAAAAAAAATCTACAATGACGTAAACCATCTCTGAGAAAAAAATATTTAACAAGTATTTTGCCTTATTAGTTGCTCCATGTGGTGGATGCTGGATATATGACCTATATTGCAGCCAGCCACCAGGGATGGCGTACAAAAAAGAAGGAGGAGACAGAAGAACGAACATAAGTTTAAAATGACATGTTACCGGTACTGTTGTTAAGATTCACAAAGCAGAGACTCCACTGTTTTTGACACTGAACTGATTAATCTTTAAACTTTAACTCAGTGCAACACTGTATTAAATCAAACCAATAGGAATTATTTCTTACAACATCAATTAATAGTAAAAATGGAGAAGATAAAAATATGGTTTAAATTTCAATTACTTAAAGTTTTAGGGTTTCCTCTCATTCTTTGGAGATTATTACCATGAAGAAGGAATTTTAAATTGTATTTTGTTTGGTGAACACTGCAGAAACCCTCAGCAGCCCCCACGTGTAATCATGTAGTTTAATTGTGCGTATCATCTGGTTAACCAATATGTGTAAGTATGAAGATTTTTCTTGATGCATTAGAAAGTCAAATTGAAGTTCAAACAGAGGTGTGTTCTGTTTATGTTCCGGTTGTGTTGCCAGCTGCTCTTTTAAAGGTACAGTGTGTAGGATTTAGTGATATCTAGTGTTGAAGTTGCATGTTTCAGCTGAACACCCCTCACCTCACCCTCTCCTTCCAAACATGAACTTGTGGTAGCTTCAGTTGTCATAAAAACTCAGAAGGTGTTTAGTTTGTCCAGTCTGGACTAATGTAGAGAGGACCCCCTCAATGTAAATATAAAGTATTTAAATATAAAGGGTCTTTTCTGGGGTAAAGAAAACTAAAATTCATACTATTTAGATGAAACAAACTAGTGAAAACATCAGGAGGATTATTCTACATTAAATTTCTGCCAATACTTTCCTTTCACCTAAATCTTACACACTGGACCTTTAAATATGAACAGGAATGTATCATCTAATTTATGGTAGATCTCTCTTTGTTCTGTTTCTGTTATGTTGTGCACGGCCTCTCTTCCTAAAGCTATTGTTATCATTGTGTGAGGGATTGTGCATTTTCTGTTCTATCTGCCATGTTTGCTCCATTTGTTGTTCCACAGCTACACTATTGATTTGATTTGATTAGGTTGTGATTATATCTCACTGCCTCACTGTTGTATTGATCTCCTGTTGCTTGTGTTTAATATCCACACACCAACGACAGCTATCACTGGAAGCTTTGTGTTTTCAGGTTGGCCGTCCATCTGTCTCATTCTTGTGAACGCCTAGAAGGAATTTCTTTAAATTTGGCTCAAATGTTCACTTGGACACAAAGATTTTATTTTCATTGTCAAAAAGCCACTGTTACCTCATAAAACCTCATGTTTCTGGCCATGACTCAAGAATTAACACATTACTTTGTGTAAGGGGATAAAATTATGAATTGATGACATTTTATATTTTAAAGGTCAAAGGTCAACTTCCCTGTCTCATCAGAAAATACGCCTGTGAATTTTTCAGTCTGAATAAGTTTGTGGTTCTTTAGCTGCTTGTCCTTATATGTTGCCAAAAGCTACTAAAAACTACAAGCACCTCAGATCTGTGCTGCCGTACTTGAACCTACTTTCCTTCACTGTGTAGATGGATCTCCGTCTAAACTATTCCTTAAAAAGTCTGCTGAGTTTAAATTTAAAAAAACCACATGAACAAGCACAGACATGTTTGTCTTTGGTAGCTGGAGGCCCGTCACAGACTACATCAATCTGCAGTTTGAACAGTACTTCAGGGATGAGAGCGGACTCAACAGGAAAAACATCCAGGACAACAGGGTGCACTGCTGCCTGTATTTCATTCCACCTTTCGGACACGGGTAATATACACACTGGCATGTGCACACGCTGTATTTACTGTATATCCATGCATACATTTAAATACTCAGTAAAGATCATGTCGGCCTGCAGGCTTCGTCCAGTTGATGTAGAGTTCATGAAGGCCCTGCAGGACAAGGTTAACGTCGTTCCTCTCATCGCTAAGGCGGACTGTCTCACTCCCAGTGAGATAAAGAAACTCAAAGAGCAGGTCAGACCACACATGTTTCATAACTCCCTCCATCATCATCCTTATCTGTTTTGTACAAATTAAACAATACAGATTAATTCATTTCAAAGGTGTATTTCTGAATTTTCTAGGCATAGCTAGTCTTATAGCCTCCAAACCCACGCTCTGTATTTAACTCAGACATGAGTTTGATCTCTATCATCTCATCTAATTCTCAGAAAAAACAACAAAAGTGTTTTCCCACAGTGGTGAATGGGGCAGCTGTAGCTCAGAAGCCAGAGCACGTTGTCCTCTAATCAGAAAGTTGATGGTTTGATCCCAGTCTTCCCCATTCTGCTTGGTGAAGTGTCCTTGGGCAAGACACTGAACCCCAAAATGCCCCTGACGGCTGCTTCCTCAAGTGTGACAAAAGTGCTGCCAGTAATTGCACTATATGAATTTGTGTTGATGGGTAAATGACAAGAAAAACTGTACTGTAAGCTCTGAGTGGTCATCAAGACTAGAAAATCTTTATATAAATACCATTTATCAATATAAAATTATTTTGGATTTAATTCAGGGCAGAAATTTAAATTTAAACAATAAACAGCCATTAGCAAAAAGAAATGCTGCACAAACCGCTTTAATTGTCCGTCAGTGGTAGAGAGGGCACAACATGTGGCTCCATATTGGTACTACAATGGCGCCCGAAGAGAGCATACCTTGTGCCAAAGCTACTGCACTGAAAATAGGTGAAACAAAATTCCTGGATCAGTTATTTGGATCGTCACCAAAATTAAATGGGTTCTTTCTGGACCCATACAATGTCCTTCCAACAAGTTTCTTTATTTCATCCAGTGAATTCTGCGTAATCCTGACCAGACAAACAAAAACCCCTTGATGGAGGTTTTATTTTCTTTTATTTTTTTATAAATAAAAGTTTCTATAGTACTTCTGCACTGTGGAGACACAATGTGCTGATTGGTTAGCATTAGAGGCAGACGCTCCCTCCTCCAATGCTAAGGTAGACTCATTGTTTACCTGGGCTACCTCTATACCAAAATTACATATTTATACATTTTTTCCCAATTAAAAGCCCATGGCCTTAACATGGCTTGGATATAATTCCCAATACTGCCTTGTTTAGGATGTGCAGATCAACGAAAACACTCACCATATACAGTAGCTCTTCTCATGTTTGTCATGAGTTTTAGAGTATCCATTCTCATCTTGCTCTGAGAAAGAAGTGAGAATAATCATATAACCCATCATGTCGAACTACTCCTACATGATGCTGCATGTATTGCTATGCCAAACCTTTTCTTTAAATGTGAATAAAATGTTGAATAAGAATAAATGATGAATGCATCATTGTTAATATAAGATGAGTTCATATATATTTATCTTTTGAGCTGCTTTGGTTAAATATATGGAAACTAGATGGGAGATCTGTTTTCAGCTTATTTTAGTGATGAAAGATTTTATCTGGAGTTTTCAAGCTTTTAAATAGGGCAGCCACTTCCTGCAATACTAGCACCCAGTGGGAGGATCTTTGTGCGTGTGTGTGTGTGTGTTATTGTCCAACATATCTTTAACATGTGTGTCTGCTTTGTCCTAGTTGAGAGAGGAGATAGGTAAGTATGGGATAAAGATCTACCAGTTCCCTGACTGTGACTCTGATGAAGATGAGGGATTCAAGCAGCAAGATAAAGAGCTGAAGGTGAGTCTGCTCTGGTTATTACTGTGAGGTGCCTGTGCAGGATACTAAAAGACAATACCCAGAATATCCATTTCATCATCTAATGCCCTGTTTCTGTTCCTTCTCCTTTCTAAGATTTGATTTAGTGCCCGTATTGAACAATTTCAATCTTGATGCTGGGTAAATGTATTGGCCTATTGCCAGTTTACTTTGAGTAAAGGCTCCAGTACCATGTCTACCTGTGGTGTCTTTGTGGGGCAGGAGAGCACTCCGTTTGCAGTGATCGGCAGCAACACTGTGGTAGAAGCCCGAGGTCAGAGGGTGAGAGGGAGGCTCTACCCCTGGGGCATCGTGGAGGGTAAGAATCTCTCAACTGGACCTCAGTGTCTGTCTGTCCCAGCCCTCTGCAGAAGTCCTGAGGTCTCAGTTACCATGACAACACTCGTTTGCATAAGTCAATCTTTTCCTGTACGCAGTGGAGAACCCGTCCCACTGCGACTTTGTGAAGCTCAGGACCATGCTGATCAGAACCCACATGCACGACCTGAAGGACATCACCAATGACTGCCACTATGAAAACTACAGAGCTCAGTGCATCCAGACCATGACCAGGTGGGTGTTTATCCATTGACAGATGTTTGTCTAAAAAGCCCAGGGACAGTGCACAATTCAAAGTAATTAGCTGGTAGACAAAACAAACAAACACTGAACATTACACAATACACAAATGAGCACAATAAATAGAAAAACATCAGATAGCTCCATATAGTAAATATAATACAATCATTGCAGACTTTAGCCAAAGCTTAAGGCTGGTGTGTAATTCCATTTACCCATGAAACCAAGAAAACAGATTGACCAAAGGCCGACTATGTGAACTGCAATACCCACTCATGCTTTTTTAGAGACTCTCGTCCTACTTGGATCTGTTTGAGTGTCACCCACCTCTGAAATCATGGTAGGTCCGTCCTGGCTGTTAATACATCAAATCCTGTTTCAAACCCTGCCATGAAATATGGCTTTTCTTTGAACTTTTGTTTAAAGTTAAATGTGGCCCAACCTGGAACCTTTCCTGCTGTGAGGTGACAGTGTGAAATAACATATCACATAAATGTACTCACTATTTTATGGCGTCATAAAAAAAGGCTCTGAGTAAAATTATATAAAATACTTGAAAATGTCAGAATAACTGGATCACAATTGTTGTTGATATTTTTTGGTATTTTCTGGTTCGCAGACAGCATGTCTACAGCACAGTGAAAGTACCTGTGTGGGAGGATGATGGGTTTGTAGGGGCATTCAAAATTAAACTAAAGTTCATCCATCATGGTGAAATAAATTTTTCCTGTTTTGTTTTTGAAGCTTTCTTATGCTGATGTAGTTACAAGAAGGGACTCATTTAAAAACAACTTTTCCCACGCTCCAATGGGCTTTGTGCTTTCAAGCTAAAATGTGTGGTATTTGAAACAATCTTGACTTGTGCTCCCTACAGCGTTTGTATCAGAAATGCTGGCGAGAATAATGGTTACTAGTTTAATGTTAGCCTACAGAAGCAGTGGTCTGATGCTTTTGCATGAGTCAAACCTGAATTATTTTGTCAGTTCCTGCTGATACTGTTCCTGTAGCTGAAAGTGAAAGACGATGTTATGAACACTGACGCTGTGTCACCACGTCTCACACTTTGTCTTGTTTAACGTTTATCACTATTGTGGGCTCCATCATTAGAATTGAGGAAACCCAGCAACATCTGTCCAGAGGTGGGTGATGGGCCAGAGGATGGAAGGAGAGTGAAGAGAGAGAGACAGGACAGACAGGAGGAGTCCTAGTTGGAAGAATTCATTAATTTGACAACCAGAATAGCACTCAACTGAGCGCTTACCCTCTTCAAGGCCCAACTGTGCCCTTAAATTCACATCGAGTCAAGTTAAATTACACACACTCGTAGATATCCGTCTCTAAGATCTCTCCATTATTTCATGAGAAATTCACAAGTAAAAAAATGTTAAAGGAAGTGAAAAAAAATCCCTGAATCTGCTCTATTGAGGTTAATGACTTCTTCCTTTGCCCACTATGAAGTAGCCACCAGAGCAATTGTTGGAGTTTTTCCTCATATTGAACAATCCAGACAGAGAAAAAAAAGATTAAGATTGACTCTTGTCCACACTGACCTACTGAAGTAGAATCTTTTCTGTTTTAATCAAGAACAGATGTAAAGTGTCGTGCTGCTGCCATGCCTCATGTTAATCTGTCATTTTACAGTAAAATGAATGCAGACAAGCGAGTGGAGAGCCCCATCCCAATCCTGCCGCTGCCCACGCCAGATGTGGAGACAGAGAAAATCATCAAAATGAAAGATGAAGAAGTGAGTGGAAAACAAATAGCCTGTATGACGCCTTAATAAACCTCAAACAATGAATATTACATGGCAGCAGGTATAACATAACCAAGATGCTGATGTGAATTGATGACCCATGTGTGTTATTATGTAAGCTGTCTCTCATCCATTCCTGTTCCCTTGTCTCTTGTCACCATGTCATCGGCCTCTGCAGCTGAAGAGGATGCAGCAGATGCTCCAGAAGATGCAGCAGCAGATGCATGAGCAGGACCTGTGACCTCTGACCTTTTATTCAGGGGACAAACCCAGAGGGTCAAACACAGCAATGATTGAAACTGTCACTAATGCCATCTCTTCAGAGGACGGAAGAAATCTTTATATGATTACATTTAATATCAATGACAGCATGCTGGCAGATGTATTTTAATTTAATTAAAATGTTTTGGCATGATAGAACCTTATAGAATTTAGTTTATTATTTATTGCAGTCTTTAGCCAAGTGAGTCAAGTTAGGCAATAGAGGCGATTGCACTTTGTTATCACAGTAGATTCCCAAGTGCAATGCAGCGCACCCTCAATGCTGCTCCTCCATATACTGTATAAAATCTTTAATCATGAATCTGATCAAACCAAATTGTATTGCAACGTACAATCAGACATCAAAGATGGAAAACTAATGTAAAATCAATCCCACATGCAAAGCGCTAATTCAATTTTGAGAGCACTTTTGTTGAGTCTGTCTGCATAATATACAGAATTACATCATCATCACTAATTCTAAATCTGCCATAGAAGTTACAGATATTATCCCATTTATTTCAATCATAGACTGTATGTAAAGATGGACGACACATCACTTCCTGAAATGATCTTGAATACTGCAGCCATGGTGCACATTTGGAGCCAGAGTCTGTAAAGGAGTGATCGTGGGATGAAGCCGTGGTAGCGAGGTCCCACTGATTCGCTGACTTCACCGATGTGTGAGTCTCAGCTGTATCATGACGTTTCATCCCGCTTTCATGGCATCAAATAACTCGAATGGTGCTCAGTAGAGCACATACCTCCGCCAAGGCCCAACAATCCCAATCAAGCTGCACCTAATATCACACACTCGTAGAATTGTATCATTCATTGATAATAATTCACGAATTATTAAATTCAAATTTAAAACAATTAAATGATTAAATTATCCGCCTCCTGATCTGGATCCTTCCCTGACCCATACCGCATCCTTCCACCAAGTTTAGTGATGGTTTGTGTTTCATCTTTCTTACAAACAAACAAAATAACCAACAAACACACAGGGGTGAAAACACAACCTCTCTGGCGGAGATCATTTAAAAACCAAACCAAACCGGTAATACATAAATACTACACCTTAATAAGAATTGCCTAAAATGACATAAACCATCTTTGAGAAAAATGTATTTGATGTGTACTTTGTCCTTGTCCGATCCACTTACATGATTTATCACCTCTAGGCAGTGCAATGGACATTTTTTAGATCTAACTGTTTAACCTAAATGCTCTCGGTGAGCTCAGTTCAAATGGCCGGAATTAGCATTGAGCTCTACTAGGAATGATTGCTTGGGTGTGATACTGGGGAATGTTTGTGATCTGTGAATTGGGGAAACCACTGAACTGTTTGATCAAATATGCAGAGTTTGTACATTTAGGAAAGAGAGATCAATGTTCACCTTCTCCACCGTGCAGCAGGTTGCAGGTTGGCGATCATGAATCGATGGTGACGGGACTGAGGACAGCTGTGTGTTCCTAGCTTTGTGGATAAAAGCCGGCCCGTCAGAAGAGACATTTGTCAGATTCTTGATGCCTGCTGTGGCTTTGAGAAATAGTAAAAAGTAACAACTTTAAAGCAAATTGACTGATTGTTTTACTTTATTTTAATAGTAATGATAACTTTTGTTTATAAAGCACTTTTCAAAAACTTGACGTTATAGCTACAGGGTTAAAAAAGTCTACAGCCATGCTAATAGCTCTGTGACACTGTAACTAAGCAAAGTCGTAAAGCTAAATGCTTAAGTCAACATGCTAATGGATGATAATACAAAATTCCAGCTGCATGTTTAAAGCTGCATTTGTGCACAATTTTGGCAGAATGGGAAAATCAACTGCAACATGGTTAGCAATAATGCTAATCTTTTAGTCACGCCAGATAAACAGCTAGATTTTTACTAGACATCAAAGTTTTACCAGTCAACATAAACCAAATCTGGTGGCTGGTGAAATGTATTGTTGAATACTGTACACACATATTTAACTGTACACATCTTGTAGGGTTTATGTCATTAAGTAAGTAAGTAACTATCATTTCTAACATTTTACTGTACATGTATTCTCTTTTGAAAATCAACACTTCCTTACATTGGCATAACAAGTACTACAACATTTTCTCATTAAGTATTAACCAGAACATGAGAATTATTTCATGAGACGTGTGTAGACAGGGGACAACAGGATTACAAATAGCCAACAAAAATCCTGCACACTTTCTGACTTGCAATGGCAAATACTTTTTTTCTCCTTTCCTGGACATCAGGCAAATGACAGTAAATGTTAAATAGGAGTGGCTGTAAGCCTGTGACCAATCAAATAATCACACATACAAAAAACAAAACAAGGGTTCTTTCACTATATATTGAAGTGTTACAAGCTCTATTTAACAACAATAATAGATGCATTTATAGGGTGTATCATGGCTCCTCGCAGGTTACTCAGAGCAGCACAATTTTTCACAACCTGTGAGAGAAGAAAACAGGTGCTCAGACGTTCGTGAAGATTGACATCAGGTTGTCTTGTTCTGCTACAACCTCAGGGCGCTGTTTCACCCAAATATTTCATAAAAGAATACAACCTGAGAACGTCCCGACTTTTATTTGTGTCAATGTGAAACCGGAGTGCCACACGTTCATAGCTGTAATCTCATGAGATTTATAAACGGCTCATCGTTTGATACGGTTCTCAGTCATGGTATCAGCTCAGACTGTGACTCACAGTGCACTGACTCTGTGGCTTCATGTTGAGCTCAGACAAATGCAGACACACACCTGGACCCACACACTCTCACACTTAATACAGACAGACTATACCGTACTGTGTGCTGTGCACCGACAGTTACAGTGAAGCTTCCTGTTCAAAACAGACCCATCCTCACAAAAGATGTTTTCAGTTTAAATAGAGGAAACATTTAACCATCACTTACTCACAGAAAGAAACAACAAAATGAAAATAAAACAAGCAGTACTGAAATGTTGAAATAAAATAAGGGGGGTATACATAGAGGAAGGCTTATACGAGTAGAGAAAAAAGGGAAACTACTTTTGTATTAACATCTATATAT